AATGTGATCTACCATCACTTATTATTGAACGAGGCATCCAAACCTTGAAAAGATGTTCTCCTTGAGAAACTTGACTACAACTCGGTGGTCATTAGTCTTGGTCGGGATAACTTCCACCCATTTGGACACATAGTCCACTGCCAAGAGGATGTACAAATAACCAAATGACATAGGGAAATGACCCATGAAGTTGATGCCCCAACAGTCGAATATTTCTATGACAAGTATTGGTGAAAGGGTCATCATGTTTCTTTGGGTCACACTACCCAACCATTGGCATTTGTCGCATCCCTTACAAAATGAAACACAATCTTTGATAAGAGAGGGCCAGTAAAAACTTGATTGAAGAATTTGGCCGAAGTCTTTTCGTTGAGAAATGTCCACCGCAAGCTTGTGAATGACAAAATGCAAGGACATCCGCTGTTCATTTTTAGGTACGCATCTCCTCATGATTTGTCGGGGCAATACTTGAACAAATACGGATTGTCAAAGTAGAAGTACTTCACATCTGCCATAAATCGTCTTCGATCTTCTAGGCTCCATTGCGGTGGTGTCTGTCCTATTGTAAGATAGTTACATATATCAGGATACCAAGGATATACAGAGTGAATTGATAGCAAATGCTCATCAAAAAAAAATCAGGGATAGGAATGTGCTCATCGGCCTCTTTCACCATAAGCCGGGATAAATGATCCGCCACCACGTTCTCAACTCCTTTATTGTCCTTGATCGTCAAGTCGAATTCTTGTAGGAGGAGTATCCACCTAATGAGTCTCGTTTTGCATCTTGCTTAGACAACAAATACTTTAAAGCAGAGTGATCAGTAAAGACAACAACAGGCGAACCAATGATGTAAGCACGGAATTTATCTAAGGCAAACACTATTGCTAGCAATTCTTTTTCGGTGGTAGTGTAATTCATCTGAGCCTCATTAAGTGTTTTGCTAGCATAGTGTATCACATATGGTCTATTTTCCTCCCTTTGACCGAGCACTGCGCCGATCGCGTAATCACTTGCGTCGCACATGAGCTCAAAAGGTAGATCCCAATTGGGTGGTCGCATGATCGGAGGTGTGACCAGCACACTTTTAAGTTTGTTAAAGGATGCCTCACAATCATTCGACCACTCAAATGGGACCCCCTTAGATAGCAGGTTGGTCAAGGGTCGGGCCAATGCACTGAAATTCTTTATGAATCGACGATAAAAACCAGCATGGCCCAAAAATGACCGGATGCCTTTGATGGCTCTTGGCGTAGGGAGGTTGGAGATGGCCTCCACCTTGGATTTATTGACTTCAATACCCTTGCCGAAACTATATGGCCAAGCACAATTCCTTCTATCACCATAAAGTGACACTTTTCCCAATTCAAGACTAGATTCTTCTCCTCACATCTTGTTAGAACTTTCTCCAAGTTTGCCAAACATCCCTCGAATGAATCTCCAAACACCGAAAAGTCATCCATAAAGACCTCCACTGTCTTTTCCACCATGTCACTGAAAATTCCCATCATACAACGTTGGAAAATCCCCGGAGCATTGCACAGTCCAAATGGCATGCGGCGGTAGGCAAAGGTACCATAGGGGCATGTGAAAGTGGTCTTCTCTTGATACTCCAAAGCAATCTCAATCTGATTGTAGCCGGAGTATCCATCTAAAAAATAATAGAATAGATGCCCCGCTACTCGTTCTAGAACTTGATCGAGGAATGGCAATGGGAAGTGGTCTTTCCTTGTGCAAGCGTTCAAATTTCGGTAATCAATGCACACCCTCCATCCGGTGATTACTCTTGTAGGAATAAGCTCATTCTCATCATTCTCAACCACCGTAACTCCGGATTTCTTAGGTACTACTTGCGTGGGGCTAACCCACTTACTATCGGTAATTGAAAAAATGATCCCCACATCAAGTAGTTTCAGAACCTCATCCCTTACCACCTCCTTCATGATGGGATTCAATCTCCTTTGTGGTTGTCGGAAAGGTTTGGAATCCTCCTCAAGATATATGCGATGGGTGCAAATGAGAGGGCTTATCCCCTTGATATCCGCAATGGTCCACCCAATTGCTCCTTTATGTTTTCACAACACCTCCAAGAGTTCTTTTTCTTGTTCCATGTTTAATGTAGAGCTAATGACCACCGAAAATGTTTCACCTTCCCCAAGATAGGCGTACTTCAAATGGGTGGGCAAGGGCTTCAACTCCAAGTTGGGCTTTTGTTCATCCGACGGAAAAATTTTCTTTTGTCGATGGGGTAACTCTTCGAATGTAGGGATCCACCTTTCCATCCCTTTCAAATCTTCTACCTCCTCTTGCTCATCATAATTCTCAAGATCCACAATTCCCTCTTCCTTAAATTTCAATATCCCCTCTAGCTCCAAGTGCTCCTCAACCAAAGTGTTGATTCTATTGACCTCACTTACTTCCTCATCATCACCCGGTTACTTTGCCAAGTTGAATACATTGTGCTCCATTGTCATATTCCCAAATGCCAACTTCATTAGACCGTTCCTGCAATTTATCACGGTATTAGATGTAGCAAGGAAGGGTCTTCCAAGTATTATGGGAATTTGGGAGCTAAGGTTTGCAACAGGATGTGTATCAAACACAATGAAATCGACAAGGAAGTAAAATTTATCAATTTGAACTAAGACATCCTCAACTACTCCCCTTGGTATACGGATACTACGATCCGCCAATTGAAGTGTGATTGAGGTGGGCTTCAACTCCTCCGGCTGCAGCTGTTGGTACACCGAGTAGGGAAGAAGATTCACAGTTGCTCCCAAATCGAGGAGTGCTTGCTCCACTCGATAATTTCCAATGGTGATGGCTATGGTTGGACAACCGGGGTCTTTGAATTTGGAAGGAGTGTTAGTCCTCAAAATTGAGCTCACTTGCTCAGTGAGGAATACTTTCTTGTGGACATTCAATTTTCTCTTGATCGTGCATAAGTCCTTCAAAATCTTAGCACATGATGGAATATTTTTGATGGCGTTGAGGAGTGGAAAAAGCTAATTTTTCAGGAATTTTAGACAAGCTTCTGATAAACTTTGATTTTCGGCTAGCCCAGCACTAACTCTTCGATATATCTCTGCTGGAAGTACCCTGATCCCATTGATAACGAGTAGGCCCAAATAACTCGATTGGGGTAGTTGCTGAACATACCACATAGTTCCGGCAACAACAAAAGCTGCAAAAAAGACAGCAGCGATACTACTGGAAAGGACGGTTTCAATATTGCCCATACGCAATCCTTTGTATAGACGTTGGGGCGGGCGGACGCTAAGATGGAATAGACCGGCTAATATGCCCATGTCCCTGCTGCAATATGATGAGAGGCTATTCCTCCCGGAACAAAAGGATCAAAACCTTCCACGCCCACGCTGGATTTACAGATTGTACTTTTCCCGTTAGTCCATAAGGATCGGACACCATATTCCAGGACCATACAAGCCTGTTACATGAAATGCACCAAAACCAAAGCAAGCTACCCCTGCAAGAAATAAATGAATTCCAAGATCTTGGGCAAATCTAAAGAAGGTTTTCCTGTACGTTCATCACAAAATATTTCGAGATCCCAATACACCCAATGCCAAATAGCTGCCAAGAAGCACAAGCCAGAAAACACAATATGTGCCCCTGCCACACCTTCGTAACTCCAATACCCGGATTCGTTACAGTCCCTCCTGTGATACTCCAACCGCCCATGAATTGGTTATTCCTAAACGAGTCATGAAGGGTATAAACGAACATACCCTGTCTCCACATTGGATCAAGAACAGGGTCAGAGGATCAAAA